TATATATATATATAGAGAGAGAGAGAGAGAGAGAGATTCTTATGTCAACTTAAGTGGACTATCCACCAAACTTTCTATCCATTGATGATACCTAGGGATTCATGCAAGATATGAAGAGACTTAGAGAGAGAGATTCTTATGTCAACTTAAGTGGACCATCCACCAAATTTTCTATCAATTGATGATAACTAGGGATCCATGCAAGATATGAAAAGATTATATATATATATAGGGAGAGGTTCTAATAAAAACCTCCTTAGCCTAAAAACTAAAAACCTCCTTCATCCATTGGATCTAGATTAATCCAATGGTTGGGATTCCGTCAAACAGTCAATAGACACATGCATTAATTACCTCAACACAGTGAATCCAGATTCACTACCTCAACGTATCTCGAATCACTACAGTGAATCCAGATTCACTGGAGTGAATCCAGATTCACTGGAGTGAATCCAGATTAACTGCGTTGATGTAATTAATGCATGTGTTTAATGAGGTAATTAATGCATGTGTTTGTTGACTGTTTGACTGAATCCTAACCATTGGATGAAGGAGGTTTTTAGTTTTTAGGCTAAGAAGGTTTTTATAGTCCACTGTCCAACTTCTCTTTGATGAAGAACCTATCGATCTCGATGTGTTTGGTTATATCATGCTCAGGCCCGGCTCTGGGGCTGTGCAAGAGGTGCGACCGCACAGGGCCCCCAAAAGTTGGGGGCCCAAAAAAAATCCCATCACCTAATCTCAACCGTTTATTTTCTACTACTCAAATGAATCTCGACCGTTCATTCATACTCAAAACCCTAAAATCCCTTCAACCCTCAGTCTCCCTTCTCTTTCGCCCCAAAATCTCAACCCCAAAATCCACCCACCCCTCTCCAGGCTCTCCTCCGTCTCCCCTCTCTTCCGCCCCACAGACCCCCGCGATCGCCGTCGCCGCTCACCTCGCCTCGTCGCCAGACCTCGCCGTCACTGCTCGCCTCGCCACAGATCCCCACGATCGCTCGCTGCCTCGCTCGCTGCCCACGATCGCCAGACCTCGCCGCTCGCCAGTCGCCACCCGCCGAACCTCGCTCGCTCGCTCGCTGCCCACGATCGCCGCCGCCGAACCCTCAAGATTCAGAAGGATTATCACTTATCAGGTAACTCTTCAAGACTCTAAAATTTGAGAGCTTTTGGGCAGAAAAAACCCTAATTTCGGTAGTGCAGGAGGATCAAATTGCTATTGATGAGTGTACAACCACATTTCTGATCAAATTGCTATTTTGCTAGAATTATTAGACTGATTGTTTTTGGAATTGTATGTTAAACAAATTTGTGAGTTTTTAATTTTCTTTGCTGCTAGTTTTGCTGCATTTACTTTTACTTCATCGAATTATAATCTAGAATTTGAACTTCTTTCAAAAAAGCATCTTTAGTGGTTCTTGTTAGATGAAGAAGAGAGTAATCTGGACTCAGTTGAATGTTAAGGTAAAGAAAGGAGAGCTACTGAACTCAAGATACTCAGGGGTTTTGCTGTAAAAACTTAGGGGTTTCGATGTAAAAAAAAGAAGGATTAATTACAAGCTGGTACCTCGAGTCATGATGTAATTATACCTAACTGAGATGACCAGAAGTAACTCTTGTTTCACCCATTTTTTTTGTTATTGCAGGATTTGTTAAACTGGTTCCTAATAAACTTTTTGGCTCTTAAACTTCAGGGATCAAGGAGAGTTGGAGACACGTCGTCGAAGAAGTTCCGACGCGACAAGCGTGTATACCTTGGTGCTCTTAAATCAGGTAATATTTTAATGTCTGATCAGTAATATTTTGTTCCCTAGCATTTTAGGGATTCAAATTAAAAATTATTGATATTTTGTATATAGAGAAGGGCATGTGTTTACTTTTCGCACAGGGCCCCTAAAATCTCAGAACCGGCCCTGGAGGTAAACTTATATCAACTTAAGTGGACAAGAGACCTTTGTCCACCAAACTTAGGGAATGATGTGAATTTAGACCGCATCCTTAGATGGGAATCTAAGGTGTCACCTTAGGAAAACATTTCCCATATATATATATATATATATATATATATATATATATATATATATATATATNCTGATAACAAATGCTGTAGAATGTTAACACTGCCATCTTATTCAAACCATGCGAATATATAAAGTACGAGGATAGACAAATTTGTATCTGTTGCGCTCTTACCTGAAAGATTGCAGCGAATGCAACAGAGGCAATAAGGGTAGCAACCACATTCACAGAGTTTACAGCATTATTGAGACCTGAACATTTCATTTTCTCAACTTTCTTCTTCAGTTCTTGAACCTGATGTTGGGTTCGTTGGGAGCGCTTGAGTTGGAACTGAACTCCCTGTTTGATGAATTTCACTGCCTGTTTAAGCTGGTTTGGACTTCTCGAAGGGGCAGGATGCACTTGATCGTTCTTTGTTACATTGATGTCTTCTTCTCTCAAAATTGAGGCAATCTCTTCATTGAAGTATTTTTCGGCTACATTCAGTGCAGTCTCACCGGTTTTGTTCAGGGCATTGACATCAATCCCCGGAAAGGATAGCACAACTCTTACAATCTGGAACAACTCAGTAGAAGAGCTTTGACGAGTTAGGTAATAGAATTATTAATCAACAAATTTTTTTAAATAGGTATGCTTGCAATATGACATCAAGGACTGGAAAGTAGACTGGTTAGTTTCTGGTACTCTCTAATCTCTATCTATTGATACGCATAATCAAAGTGACAACAAAAGTAAAGGTGTGAACCAAATAATAATAATAATAATAAACAAGAGTTTGAGTATGTCTGGAACCATAAAATTCATCAGGCTTCAGGGATTATATAGAAGATTAGTGCAACTTCAAGCTGAGACTCCAGATCAAACAAATTTCAAGTCACCTGCTTTCCTATCCACCGAATGGCTTTTATGGTATATGCTACTAACACCTCACCTACCTTCGATATTTTGAGACTCTAGGGATAGATATCCAAGTTCTTTCCCTGCATTCCTCTTTAAGTATATTCTCTAAAGTTTATGTTATATTTCTCCATTTAATAGCACATAATTTAAGACAGGGATTGGCCCTTAGTTATGTGGTCGGAGCAAAGGTCACTCATACTTAAGTCTTGACTATCAGTAAGGAAGTAACAATTATTGGAATCATGTCAACAGTGGCATATCAAATTTAAATGAAAAAAGATGATTCAAATATTAGGTATCAGTTCCCGTATCAGTTTAATCTTAGCATACTGTTTATCATAACCTAAACTGCCACACCACTAAGATTCCAGTAGTAATAAAAGACACCATAATTCAAGGGCTAATTGTGGATTGACCGCCTGTAATATCGCCCAGTTACGGATAGCCCCCTTGTACTATTGCCCATTTGTGGATAGACTCCTGAGTGATTCTTTATAACTACTTTACCCTCAGGAGATCAATTGTCAAATGCAAATTTCTCTTTGTATGAGGTTAAAAGCACCTAAAAATTTTACTCGGGAGATCAATTTGTGGGGAGACCCCCTGAGTAATTTTTTTTTTGACTCTTTCGATCAATTTGTCAAAAGGTAATTTTCTATTTCTCTGAGGTTACAAGCGTCGAAAAGTTCACTCAGGCAGTCTACCTGCAACTCGGTGATAGTACGGGGCGTCTTATATGCAATTAATCCTAAAACCAATCACGTGACATTGGCATGATTCTAACAAGGATAAATTTTTAAAACAGCCCCATTTAGAGTTTTATTTTTCAAAATCGACCGGTTTTTTTTTATTTATAAAAACCGACCCGATTTTGTGATTAACCGACTAATCACATTCCTAAATAGTCGGGGTTGGCAACCCCGACTATTTAGGACCTTAATTTTTAGTGTTTAAGGCATCTAATCAGGGTTTAATACCCTCCTAAATAGTCGGGGTTGCCAACCCCGACTATTTAGGATGGTGATTAGGCTGCTAATCACAAAATCGGGTCGGTTTTGATAAATAAAAAAAAACCGGTCGATTTTGAAAAATAAAACTCTAAAGGGGTCTGTTTTGAAAAATTGTTCTTCTAACAATATGTAAGATATAAATAAACAGAGACCCACCTGTGAACGCCCCTTCCTGGTCGCAGTATGCAGTGCTGTATTCTGTTTATTGTCCACAATGCGAATAACTGAAGAAACTCTATTCCGAAACTCTCTCACTATCATCACATTTTGGCCTTTTGCTGCCATGTGAAGTGCCGTCTGGCCCTTCTTATCAGTTTTCAAAACAAGAGAGGGATCTTTTTCAAGAAGCATTCTCACTACTTCTAAATGACCTCTCCTTGAAGCTATATGGAGAGGGGTTTTACCGTTATTTCGTGCGATTGATGCAACACTATCATCCGCGTCGAGAAGAAGTTGAGCAATATTTACGTGATCCTGAGCAGCTGCTGTGTAGAGGGCTGTAGCATTTGATGAGTCTGTGGTTTTAATCAGTTCTGGGACATCTTGCAGTAGCGCTTTCAGTACCTCTGCAATAAAAAGAACAAATTGAAGTGGTTACAATGTGCCAAGTAACTATAGTGTATTATTGAGAAAAGGGCTGTTAAGGTATTTGTCCACCAAAATCATAAGTGATGACAACACTAAAAAGAGTTCGGGTGTAAAAAGGGATAAATCTAATATTTTAGGGGCCAAGTAGGGACTCGAGCTTTTCTGAATTGGAAAGTGTAAAGCAACCAGAGCTTACCTGCATGTCCTAGCTTAGCAGCAATGTGAAATGCATCACAGCAATTATCGACATCAGGAGCAACTGACTGCCTGTTTGCAGCCTTCAAGATCTTATGAACAATCTCAACATGTCCAATTTCTGCAGCAATAAGGAGTGCAGTCTCTCCATCACTGTTCTTCTTCCAAATTGAACCCTTCGAACGACTTGTCTGGAAATTTGTCAGAATATCCTTAACCTGCGCTAAATTGCCCATTCTAACAGCTAAATGAAGCTGTGCATCACCATGTCTCACAGAATTATTTCTTACGTTCATGTCATTGGTGCTTTTCTGTTTATTCTTCATCCATGGTCGAAGAGACATTTCATTGTCAGAGTCTCCTATCTGAAAGCTAACTGTTCTCTCCATGAACAAACGAAAAAGGAAGTCTATCTTTTGCAAATTCACAGTTTGATAACCGTAGTAAATGGTACAACCTGATGCTGATACCTTTTCTCCTAGAACATTAACCACAAAAGTTAAAAAGTGCAAACATATGGAAAACTAGTGATGCTTTCATGGCTTAAGATAAGCTACCTGGAAACTTACTGAAAAATATATTCCTGATTTCCATAGAATATGTAAATTTTTTTAGATCAAAATTTAGAAGGAAAAAAAAGGTCCTTGTTCAATGTTTAATTTTCAGTGGTATCCCTTAGTATAAAAAAGCTAAATATGCATTTAAACAAATTCAGATGCCGCCTCTTTCAAACTTGACTAATGAAAATTGAGGCACAGCATGAAATCCTTCTATCCTCTATAGCATCTAAAACCTTAAATTATGAAGAGACACATATATCTCTCTCTCTCTCTTATTAAATAGAAAAACATATGCGTCTCTTATTAAATAGAGACTCAGATGCCCACCTTGAAGAGTAAAACACAGTTCAAGACTTGACTTCAAATATCAGTGCCAAGTACCTAAAACGTAAATTGTTAATCTTCAATAGAACTCACAAATGCAAATCACATCAAAGGTTAGCAAAGCAATCCCTAACCTTCAAAAAGAATTCAGATTATAAAGATAATGTGTCTGAAGTAGAAAAGATGTGAATAGAAGTACACACATACTATAAGGAAACTACTATTTATACTCCTCCCGAAAATAAAACAAAAGGAAGAACATATCTGGGAATCTTTCAGTCTTTTGCTGTTTGCATTTGCATGTTGGATAAATGTTAAGGGAACTTCGACCACATTTGCTGAAGTATCCTGTGTTTCCTCATCTCTAATGTGTTGCCTCTCTGAAGGACCAAGTTCTTTGTTTTGTGTGTTTCTTTTGATATTAACTAGGCAAATATCTTGTCATTTTTTGTTTTCACATACGTAGCTGGGTGTGGATATGGGAATCTTCTCTGAAAGAGATTCCGTTTGACCACTGAAGAAAACAACAAGAAGAACTAGATCCAAGAAATTGCAGGATATCAGGATATACTATGATATACTACCATTTCATCAAAATCATCCCACACACAATCAATCCACAAGCACACGCTACCCTTAGCTCTTTTGATTGTTTCTTCATGTAAGCACACACTACCCTTTTGCTCTTTTGATTGTTTCTTCATGTATTTAGTTTTGGCTGAATTTTAACCTGGAATGACATAAATCATATGGATAATTCACCAATAAATCTTGAGCGGAATTGTAAGGAAATTATAAGTACTCATCCTTTTTTACTTTTATGTGCTAGGTTTCTAGATCAGTTCAGTTGTTACTTGGTAATTTTGTTTCAATATATGTGATTTTAGGAATGATTATTATAGGAAGTCACAGTTTGTTGTCATGTTGAGCTTCACTTTCACAATAAGCAATACAGTGACTTGTAGATAAACATAAGAACATTGCTGTAAAAATCGTCATAAAGAAAATTCATGAACCTAAAAACTAAAGGGTGATTCTTCTTCAACATGGGATAATTACAGATAATGGGCATGCAGTAACATAAAAAGTAAGCAAACTTTATGGAAGCTGGGTACTGGAAGCAATGAGTGTAGAACTAAAACTGAACTTATATTACATACCCTTCAATATTCATTATATACAACATTCCAAGGCAATAAGACACCTGTACTGATGAAGGCCTAGTTGTTGTTCTTCGGAACTCTAAGAGGGTTGAAGATTTTTATGTTCTTCCTAGAGCTCATGTTGTTCTGGATGTCGTTTTATTGTGTTGGATATTTATTTTTACTTTTTTTTCCACCACGAATTTAGCTCAGGATTCTTTTGTTTTGTGGCGTATTGCGTGTAATATATTGGAATGTTTCGTTAAAACTCTTATTAATGGAACACGGGGCCTAGATACTCATCGTTTCGCTCAAAAAATAAGACACCTGAATTAATGAAGATAAATAGATTAGAAAGAGGCAAGAAGTAAAATAGCCATCATATCAGCAGTTTCCTTAAGGATTCATATAGAATATGGTATCAACTACGATATTTAATACTCATCAAACTCTGAAAATCATGTGAAACATTATTATACTTGCAGTACTTGAGAATCTGGAATTCAAATTCTTAAAATACATCTCTAATAGAATAAGAGATGCATCTTTTGTAGAACATAGAAAACATTATTACACGACACCCATGAAATTCAGCAATAACAAATTAGTTGCAGGACGCATTTGAGAAGATAGTAAAAAGGAAGAAGATCATGAAATTCAAAACTGTCAACAATAGTGATAGTGCAAGTGACAAGGTGAGTGCTGAGTGGTCCTGGTAAATTTTGAAGGATCATGTAAGTACATGGTTGTGCCTCAAACAAATGAGATAGACAATACAGCCAAACAAAACAAATTAATACCCAAAATATATTTAAACCATGAATCAAAGTCCATCAATATCATCAGATCTTTCCCATAAAAACCAGATCATCTATTAAGCACAAATCAAATAGGAGGTTCAGCAGCGTAATTGCAGAAGCAAACATATTTGACTGGTTATTAATCTCCCATAGGACAGAGTTCGCAGTTCATTACCATTCTGCAAATGCATAACTCCTAACAAGCTAAAATGAGCAATAATCTACTCTGCACGTTGAAAGTAGGATTGACCAAATGATTAATGTTGGCAGCATCTATTGATATTGAAGCTTTAGAAACTGTTTACTAATGTAATGTGCAGGATAAAGCGATCATATTCATTCAAAAAGATATACAGTAAAACATATGAAACTTTTTCAATGTAGCATAATCATACTTGATTCTATATTGCATACATCTTCTTCTTGCATTCAGCTTTGAGAAGCACGTTTGAGACCAAGGTTGCACACCGAGAATAAGATTCACCGAACCCAGTCACGGCCCTCTTAATGCTATGCTTGAGCTTCTTTCGGCGCATCCTATGGGTGATGACACAGTAGAACATGATTGTCAATGTTGAGATCAGGGTCACTATTGCCATCAACAGAGCAGACCAAGCTAACCACCACTCTTCCCGTCTTATAACCACATATGAGAGAGACACAAAGGCCACAGTAATCGAGATGCAACATGCCCACATAAGTTTGTTGATCACAAAGACCATCCACTTCATTGCTTTCGGATCCACCACTATGAGCGATGTCTGAGCCACAACTACCGCAAGTGACACAAAGAGAGCGAAACAGTCAGAAAGGAGGAATATCGCAAATGCAGGTCCATTGGCAATGTAGGCTTGCCCGAGGGAGTAGCCATCTCCATCAGAACTCGTGTACTGCCCTGGGACCTGGAAGATGGCAGCAAACGCTGAAGAGAAGATGAGAGTTGCAACCACGATATTGGAGTTATTGGCTTTGTCGAGGCCATTCTTGATCATCTTTCCAACTTTTTTTTTGAGTTCGTCAACCCCCATTTGAGTCCTTCGAGACTTTTGGAGTTGGAGTTTAACTTCTTGTCTCAGGAAGCTAACTGCTTGCTTCAGTTGGTTTGGAGTGCTCGGGGGGAGAGGAAGGACTTCTTCTACCTGGACTTCTTCTATCTCTTCTATTTCTTCCTTTCTTGAGATTGTGCAGCCTCCGGTTTCTCTGAGAACAGTGGCAATTTCTTCATTGAAGTACTTTTCAGCAATTTGAAGTGCCGTTTCCCCAGCTTTGTTCGATGCATTGATATCAATCCCTGGAAAGGACAAAAGTGCCTGTACTATCTGCAAGTGCAAGAGAAACAGGTTTTGAAGGTAGAAAACATAAATGATAATCTCTAAGAGAACACTTTCAAGTTTTTGAGTATCAACTAAGAAGAATGCTGCGGAATTGGGAATATAATTTTATCTTTATATAAGTATATCTTCTCTGTGGTAATGATGTTAAGTTAGTGATGAAGATAAATATAATTCTATTTAGTGTTTCTTTATCTAGTTAGTTATTCTCTGCAATTTATTTCATGCTTTAGCAGCAAATTAGTTTCTTCTTCTGCATTCATCATCACCAGACTTAATGGTGAAATATAAGATGGAAAGGAAATATAATAATTACTATTAATAAATACATATCAGATCTGACATCAGAGCGCGGTTCAAACACACCACAAAGTTTTTCAAGCCACAACTCCATACAGAAATATTCATAACAGTAAGAAGAGTAAAAAAGATAATTATTCCATGTGTGCATAAAACCGAGGGAACTGTTCAAAATGCGAAGATTTATATATATGAAAAATTATACCTGTGAACGCCCTTTCCTGGTTGCAATATGCAATGCTGTGTTCCCCTTATTATCAGCGAGGTTAATGATGAAAGGGGCATTTCCCAGCAACTCTCTAACTATCTCAGCACTTTGTCCTTTGCCTGCCATGTGAAGTGCCGTTTGGCCCTTTCTATCCGTCATCAAAACAATGACAGGGTCCTTTGAGAGAAGCAATTTTACAACTTCTTGGTGATCCATCCTTGCTGCTATATGGAGAGCAGTTTTGCCATTGTTCCTCACAATTCTTGCAACAGCTACATCTGCTTCAAGGAGAAGATCTACTACTTCGATGTGGCCTTGAGAAGCAGCGGTATATAGAGCTGTGGTGTTTGATAGATTTGTAGTAGTAACTAGTTCTGGGAACGAATACAGTAGCGCTTTCAACACCTCTGCAATCAAAGACAGCGAATTGTACACCATGGAACATTTGATTAAATAGTTTATGACTTTGTAATAGAACTTGGTTCGAAGAAACCAAGAAGAACACGATAGTAGTTAATTTAACGGAGGGAACAACCCATGACAGCCTAAGTAGACAGTACTTTGTTTTCTTTCCTTTCCACGCCATGTCTAAAACTAAAAATTCTCAATAGATACTGCTCTCGATGGAGGATGGAAAACATAATTATCTATAAACGGCTTATGTCCGCGCACATGATAATAAGAGTCTTTAAGGTTTCAAAATATATTTCCAGCCACAGTGAAATGCTTGATTACAAATGAAGGTATATTTTTTGAGGAAATAAATGAAATCATGTATGTACCATTATTTTCCACCCTAATATTAAAAAGATTTTTTTTCTCTTCCAAAATTTTCCAGACGGGTATTCAAATAATTCTTTGAGGTTATTGAACTGATAAGATTCAAAAGAACACATGATATGGCACGAAGAGGTCAAAAGCTTACCCGCATGTCCTAGCTTAGCAGCAACATGAAATGCACCGCAGCTTCTATCAGGATCAGCTGATTGCATGCAAACGGCCTTCAAGATCTCCCGAACAATCTCAACGTTACCATTTTTGGCAGCAACACAGAGTGCAGTTTGTCCCTCGTTGTTTTCCTCCCAAATCTTCTCCATTAAACCATTAGCCTTAAGACCCAGCAGGATTTCCTCAACTTTTGGTAGACTGCCCGTATTAACAGCTAAATGAAGTGGTGTTTCACCTCGCCTCCCAGAAACTTTTTCTATCTTTTTCTCTTGAAGGCCCTGTTCGTTCTCTATCAGTCCCGTGGTAGAACTTCTCTGATCCACTACCCTTGTCCGCAGAGATGACTGTCTTTCTATCACCCCCAACTGAAAGCTAATACTTCTTTCCATTACACCAAAAGCGCAACTAAGTACTCACAACAAGCCTAACAGCTCAAAATCAAGTAGAATTATGAAATGTGTACTAGTTTTAGCTCAGACTGAAAAATGTGGACTCCCTTTGCCTTACACCTTTGGCACATGAAAATCTTAAAAATTAAATCTTTTCACAGAATAAGAAACTACCTTAATCTGCAAAGTATCCGACATAAGATACCCTCTTCTTAACAAAAGCACAAATGAAATACTTCCCACACGGGACCTGAAGCAAAAATTTTAGATCATATATAAAGCTATAGAAGAATAAAGAAAATTGGTATTTATATCGGAAACTTCGGACGCGGCCAGAAATATTCTTCTTTTTCTGCTCATTTGATAGCTTGGAATTCAGGGAACCTACATAGCCTACAAAAATATTATTCTTTTGTTTACTCCTTTTAACTGTATTCTTTCTAGGAACAATGAAGTTTCCACCCTTGCATTTGTTTCATGATGTTATCAAAGCTGAAATGAGAAAATATATTATTTCAAAATAGACCCTAACAGGTCATTCATGTCAAAGACCTATGTTGCTTCTATGCGTTCCCATTTATGAATAATCCAAGCTTCCTCTTTAAATATTTAATTCAGGGATTTAATTTTTTAATGAATCTTTCCAAATGTGCAAGTGTCGTTATGCAAAGCTTTCATTTTTTTTCCTGACTTCTTATACAGCTCCTGCATTTTAATCTTACAGGGACGATGAGACGCCATCCACAACAGAGTTCCCTGCCTAAAAAAACAAACAAATGTTGCGTTAACTTCATCACAAAGCTTCTGCGAGATTCAAAACTGCTGATGCTAGATGATGTGTTAAACTAAAAGAAACTCTAATCAAATGAAACCGAAGGGATCACGACATCAACATTTTAGCAGTTGAATTTAAATCCAGCAATTGATGTGGGCTTGTCAGAATGCCAGACATCTATATACCAGTCTATATTGTATAATACGTTGTGCTTTTATCATTCCATAGTGCATAACAGCATTCCATATATATATATTTCTAAAGACATATACCGATGAATGTGAACATGCAGCAGTTTTCATTAGGTATAATATCAGCAGAAACTTATCTCTGTTTCGCTCGATGCTCTACAAATGGATGATTAGATTAAAAAAAATTAATGATTATTTAACTAAAGAAAATGAGGGGGGTAAAGTCTCTCATGTAAAACCTTAGGGGGGTTTTCTATAGCATACCCAAAATTTTATATTTGAGATTGGTCACTCATCATTCATTGTAGGGAGAGTTAAGGTTTGTTCAAGTATGGTATTGCTTAAAAAGTATGGTGAAAATCCATGACTTATGCTTGAATATGTCACAAATTTCTCTGAGCCAAACAATTTTTTAAGGATTTAAGATAGAATAAAATTCAATCGAACAAGTAGCTTTTTCCTACCAAATTTCTCCCTCACCCAGGCCCCAAAAAACCCACCTTTCTTAGAATCATCAACATAAAAATAATTCCCACAAAATCTAGAATGAGCGACTTTACACTAACAAAAGCAAGAAGAGAGCCAAAACAATCAAACACCCAACAATTCTGAGTACCTACAACAAACAAATCAACATCAAAAAACCCAGATTAGAGAAGCAACAAAAAATGAGAAAGACCCATTGACCCAAATCGTCAGAGTCCTCTTCAAAATAAAAAATAATTTCAACAATTTAGAACAAACCAGTTAACGTCAACAAGCCCAACTTAGATTAACCAACATGAATTGGGAAAGACTCGTTAACCCAAGTCACCGAACTCTATTTCAGCAGTCAATAAATTAATGGGTTAATTTCACAAAACCTCCCTGAACTTTGGGTGGTGTTGCACATAATCCTCTAAACTTTGTTAGTGTCACATAACCTCTGCTGAACTATGAGGTGTTACACAAAACACCCCTGAACTTTAGTTTATCTTAAATAACCTCATACTTATAATTTGTAAATAACTAAAATGTCTTTAAGTGGAAAATTCTCAAACTTTATCATCTGGCAATTACCAGCAACATACTCCTTCCCTTAAATTTTAGAGAATTATGTGAGATAAATAAAGTTTTGTGGCCATTATGTGCAACAATCTCCAAAATTTAAGGAGGTTTTGTGAAATTAACCCTAAATTAATTAAAGTCGAAATTGTAAAGAATAAAAGAGAAGTTTCCTATAAGAGGGAGAAGTTGACACCTATGCATTGATATGTACTGTTGAAGGGGGCTCTTAGGAAGAGGGGAAATCACTTGATATGATCGTTATCATTAAAAAAAAGATTTCCCTTGTTTTACTATTCATACTCCTAAACAGTAACTTTCGGGGTGTGTGAGGACTAAATTGCCCTTCTCCCAAATCAAAACAGGTCAAGTCCATTCTAGAAACACCCTCAACATCAAAAGGGTATTTTCGGTAATCCAACTCCCAAAATTACTGCCAAGTCCATTCTAGAAACACCCTCAACATCAAAAGGGTATTTTCGGTAATCCAACTCCCAAAATTACTGTTTGGGAGTGGATATAGCAAACATGAACATCAAAAGGGTATTTTCGGTAATCCAACTCCCAAAATTACTGTTTGGGAGTGGATATAGCAAACATGTTTGCAGTTGTATATTCCCAATAGTTTTTGGCAGCATGTATATACCCTAATTTTTTTAAAATTTACACTTTAATACTCTCAGTTTTGCAAATATGGGAATTTACGTTGCAAAATTCTCATGTACACTCATATGCTAATTTTTGAACATTTCAATTCTTAATATTTGTTCCCTCTCAAAATTCTATTTAAAATAGAATTATAATAAGTCTAAAATAGGATTATGATAGTTTTAATGATACATTTAATAGAACTTAAGGATTAAAAGGTTGCCTGTGGGTGACACATGAGAATTTTTGACGGTAAAAGTGTAAATTTTAAAAATCTTAGGACGTACAAGTTGTTGCCAAAATAAGTGAGAATATATCAATGCAAAGTGAGGAAACTACTAAGGAACAAATTTTCAAAACAGACTCAAACCAAGTTTTAATTTTCAAAATCGACCCATTTTTTTTTATTACCAAAATCGACACACTTTATGCCACGTCAGCTTAATCTCATTTCCTAATTAGTCGGGTTGCCAACCCCGACTATTTAGGGCATTAAAAATCGGGTTTAAGGTTTCTAATTGAGGTTTAACAATCTCCTAAACAGTCGGGGTTGGCAACCCCGACTAATTAGAAAATAAGATTAAGCTTACGTGGCATAAAGTGGGTCGATTTTGGTAATTAAAAAAATGGGTTGATTTTGAAAATTAAAACTTTGTTTGAGTTTGTTTTGAAAATTTGTTCAACTACTAAGGTATTTGAAAGTGCAGCTAAGACTTCAAGTAAATTCTTCCACATTAGATGTGACTTGCTAGGATAAGACTTCAAGTGAGACTCTGAGAGCATCATTCGTCTTCAGTCTTTTTTTTTATCTTTTTTTTTTTTTATCTATGGTATGATTTGCTCAGAAGAACAACTTTTTTCCACATTTGAAACAAGCAATGTTGCTGACTGGGGAGTCGAGTAGGCTTTGAAGTCTTCCCAAAATGAACATACCCATCTTCTAACTTAATATTGCTAGAAAAATTCTCCCATTTTGCTCCTTGTTCCGATTCTCTCTCCATGTTTGCTATATCCACTCCCAAACAGTAATTTTGGGAGTTGGATTACCGAAAATACCCTTTTGATGTTGAGGGTGTTTCTAGAATGGACTTGGCCTGTTTTGATTTGGGAGAAGGGCAATTTAGTCCTCACACACCCCGAAAGTTAGTTTAGGAGTATGAATAGTTGGACCCTTCTCTCTCTCTGTCTCTGTCTCTATATCTATCTATCTATCACATTAGGAGTTCTTTTTAATGGAGGGCCTGCCTCATTCTTGCCTTCTTTGCTACACCATGAGATTAGAGGTGAGTTTTCAGCTCTGTTCTACCTAATTTTGCGCTAAAGATTGTTTCTTGATATTGTTGGTCATCTGGGTCTCCTCAGATATTTGATGGGTCGGTGTAAATTTGAGTTTTCTATGATAGATTACTGAGGCATTTGAGCTAAAGATTTTGAATTGGCCTGTTTGATTTATGAAAGTGTGTGTAGTTTTTTTATGGGTTGGAGTCAAGGCTGTAATTTGAGGTTTGAATTTTTTTCTATTTTCCCTGTGCTAAAAAGTTGATACTTTTTCATAGGACTAAATATCCATGTTGGTATTTTAATTCTACCCCATTTACCAAGAATGTATTTTAATTACGCAAACCTGTTTTAAGGCATTTTAATTGATTCAACTTACCAACAAGGCCATTTTTCTCGTCGGCGACCGGTTTTCCGGCGAGAGCTCGTCACGTGCGTGGCACGTGATGACTTAAACTGTTTTTTAGCTGCTGATGTGGTACGGATCTGTCCTATTTTAGGTGAATTGGGATTTTTAGAGGGTTAATTCCCGCCTTTAAACACTACCACGTCAGAAAATCCGTGCCACATCCGCAGCTAAAAAATAGTTTAAGTCATCACGTGCCACGCACGTGACGAGCTCTCGCCAGAAAACTGGTCGCCGACGAGAAAAAGGGCCTTGTTGGTAAGTTGAATCAATTAAAATGCCTTAAAACAGGTTTACCTAATTAAAATGCCTTCTTGGCAAATGGGGTGGAATTAAAATACTAATATAGGTATTTAGCCCTTTTCATAGGGTAAGTTCCACAAAATCCTAAGACATTTGGGCAGATAACCCCAGAAGGGTTGGAAATATCACTTAACCCCTAAAATGTTTTCAGATAACCCCAAAAGGTTATCTGAAAATATATTCTGCAATATGTAGAAGTTTTGGGGTCAGGTGACATTCCCAAACTTTTAAATTGCATCCTTCTGTGTCCTTGGGAATGTTTGGAAATGATTTAAAAAGTTGAGGACGGTTTAATTTTTCGTCTAATTGGCATGGAGTTGGTATAAAGAATCAAGTGTTCTCAATCATAATTTATAAACAAATAAAATTTTGATCTTAGCCGGTTTATGTTTAAAAATAGTATGATAATTTAGGATCCTTAACAGTCATATTTAGTTGCATTCCTGTGTCTCTGATATAAAGAAGTAATCCGATTACTTTGTCTTCTCTTTTTCCATGGGAGTCCATACTCTGTGTTTGTCATACTTTAATTAGTGGGAGAGAATAGAGAGCAAGCTAATATGGTAGGTTAAGTATGTCTATTTTTTTTTTCACTTTGTAATCCAATCAAATTGGTGTTTCTGCATGGTTTGCTGGCAGTTTGTATTTGTTTGCGTCGAAAATTGATGTATTCATTGCGGTATTCATTACAACTTCAATCGTTACAATGAAAACAAAAAAGATTATCTTTTTATAAGACTTTTACACAATGAAAACAAAAGTTTACAACTCTCGTCAAAACAAACGCAGAGGACATTTATCACCCGCTGCTTTGCGTGGGATCTTTGCCTGTGCCGGGGTTTATCCGTGGACCGCCTTAGATCTGGATCCGGTTGATGAAAAATTCGGCAGAGCTTCGTCTTCACCGAGGAAGTATTTGATTTGAAGCGCTGAGATCGACCAAGCGAAATCAGGGCTCTTCTTGAGATTAAGACCAAGCCTAATCTCAAGGGACGGGAACGGGCGTCGGATCTCTCGAACTCTCCTTCTTTATGCCGAAGAACTCGCCAAGATCTGTCAACCCTCGCTGAAATTCGTGCTCCTTTGACTCCACAATCCGGCAGCACCTCCTCGTCTTGATAATCAATCGCTCCCGCTGAAAGGAGACCCTAGGTTTGTATTTATAGGGCTTCGGAAGCGGTTATTTGGATGAGAATAAGTAATTTGGCTCTATCTTCATTGTATTTATAGGGCTTCGGAAGCGGTTATTTGGATGAGAATAAGTAATTTGGCTCTATCTTCAGTTAACCACAGCCTAACCACGTTTGGGGATGATATCAGGTCAGTTAGAAACCTCTGGAACAGATAAATCCTGCAAAACAGCATAAAAACCGTCAAAACGCGTTTCGGGTTCCGTACTGCGCTTGCGCGGGTCGGACCAATCCGACCCGCACAATTGCGGGTCGGATTGGTCCGTCCCGCAAAGTTGCGGGTCGGACCAATCCGACCTGCGCTTGCGCGGGTGTTGACTTGTATGCTTCGCCGCGAGACCGATCGTCGAACGCGCGTTGCTTGTTGATCGATACGCGTTGACTGATCGGCGTGCACGTGTTGACCGACGCGCACGAGCTGACCGACGCGCACGAGATGATTTGACGTGCGCTGACTGATTAGCGAATTTTCTTGACTCGCCTATTCATTGCTTCGTGTTTCGTGCGGGCTCTTATAGGCAATTTTAGACGCCTACAGTATTTGCTGTAAACACGTGATGGGGAGGGGGCCACCACATGAGCGAATGAGAAATCAGCCCCTCGTTTCCGCGTGATTAGCAGGCCAGGCCCACCCGATCTTCACACTATAAATAATGGTGTGGAAGGCTGGGGGCGAAATTGTGCAGAAAGAAAAAATCGACGGCTGTGCTTCGTGCAAAGGAGCAGAGGCAGGGTACAAGAACGGCTGCAGCAAAGAGAAAGAGGTCTTAGGGCTTCGTGAAGAGAGTTTTGTGCAGTCTATTGTGCTGATTTTGAGAGAGATATTTGTGCGGGGTTTAGATTGAGTGATTGTAAACCCTAGTTGTGTTCTCTCCCTCTAATAGTATATCTCCCCCCTTCTTGCCCCGTGGACGTAGGCAGTTTG